ATGAAATACTAAGAACTACGTGACAATGACAAAACTTGTGGAGATGTAGCTAAAGTGAAATGTGCAGAATTATATCCACAAATAATTATAAAACAAAAATGAATGATAAGCAGTCTGCTTAAGAAGCTAAAAAAGAACATTGGAGCAATCTCAAGAAAAATGGAATAAGTATAAGAGGACAAATGATTGATTAGAGATGATTAACAAAACAAAAATAGATTTTCTGCAAAAACAAGGTAGACAAAACTCGAGTAGAATGATAAAAAATGAAGCAACAAATAAACAATATTAGACAAAATAGAGGACCATCATTATGAAGACAGTAGATATAGAAAATATCATAAAATATATTAGAAACTCTATGGCATTAAGTTATAAACAAGATGTTTTAGAAAATGTAAATTATAAATATTAACTCCAGAAGAAATAGGAAACCTGAACAAACCAACAGCCATCACAGAAATTGAATTGATAGCCAAAAGTCTCCCCTGAAAAAATATGGAAGACCCAGATAATTTTATAAGATAATTTACCAAGCCTTCAAGGACTATAGTCACATGTTCTACAAACTGTTTTATAGAGTTTGGGGGTGGGGGCACTCGGGGAAGGAGATCTATCCTACTCACTTCATGTAAATGTATTACCCAAACTATGTAAGAACAAAATAGGAAAAAGAAGAAGAAAATTGTAGAGTCTATTCACCTATGATATTAATGATAAAGTTTTAAATAAAATGCTAATATATTTAATTAACTAATACATTAAAAAACATACTGTGACCATAGAGTTAATTCCAGAATGTGAAATGACTCCACATCAGAACAACTTACCAAGGTTTACCTTCTTTCTTTCTTTCTTTCTTTCTTTCTTTCTTTCTTTCTTTCTTTCTTTCTTTCTTTCTTTCTTTCTTTCTTTCTTTCTTTCAAAAAATATATTTTATTGATTTTTAACAGAGAGGAAGGGAGAGAGATAGAGAGCTAGAAACGTCGATGAGAGAGAAACATCGACCAGCTGCCTCTTGCACACCCCCTACCGGGGATGTGCCCACAACCAAGGTACATGTCCCTGTCCAGAATCGAACCGGCTTCGGCGGTTTTCCATCTTTCTTTACCATATTAGCAGAGAAAAAAACCATGTGATGACAGATAAAAAATGTAAAAATAGCATTTGATCAATTATCTCTCATTCATGATTAAAAAAACCAAACTTTTGACAGGGAATATAAGGAAATTTTCTTAAAGGGTTTTCTTAATTTTGATAAAGGGCTTCTACCTATTTTGGCATTTACATTTCTCAACCCAAAGTTAGGAATTTATTCACAAATTTGCCTGTGATCCTACCAATTAAAAGAAGAAATGCTCTTCATATTGTTGCAAGCTGGAAGTTGCCTGTTTCTTACAGTTTCTGCACTCACCTGTCCATCTCTGTTCCCTGAAATTCTGCCCTACTCACACAGCTTGACCACCCTGCACATCTGCACTTCTCTCCTCCTCCAATACTTTCCCCATCCCAGCCAAATGCAGGTAAATATATTTAGTCTTTCTAACCCATGTTTCAATAAGTTCTACTGGGAGATTTCTTAGAAAAGTAAGAGTCTTTAAAACATGAAATATACATCGATCTACTGACCACTTGTAAAATTGCTGCCCACTTAAACTATTCCATCTACTAATCCGTGCCTACACCTACCTCTATCAAAGTCTTGGTCATCCATTTGGGAATATCCAGCCCTCAAATACAATACAAGTAAGTATATTAAAAAATCTTGCAAAAGATGTGAAAGTTCATGAAATTGATGGAAGTAATGCTGGTGAATTGACTGATGCAAAGTCATTAATAAGGAGAATCTCACAGAGTCAGGCCAGATAACAAATGGGAGGAAAAATCAATAATCAAGATAATTACACCAATGCTTGTAAAGGAAGTAATTTTGTTTTAAAGGATTAAGAGAAGTCCTTGGGAAAACTGGATAAAGCCTTCAAAACTTATTTAAAAAAATGACCCTACTGCAAAAATCAAATGCAAAGTAAAGAATAATGAGCTTAGCATACAATTGTAATTATAACCTAAAATGTGTTAAATATAAGATTAATTCCAAAGGACTTGTATGCATGCATATAAGCCTAACAATGGACACAGACACCAGGGGGTTGAGGGTATGAGGGAAGAGATGGGGGTCGTGGAAGCAATGGAGGGATAAAAACACATATGTAATACCTTAGTCAATAAAGAAAAAAAAAGATTAATTCATTTTCATAATTCTTTGGTTGCATTATTGCAAGATAACATCCCAATCAAGTCTTTTTCTTTCATTCTGGAATCTAGGTTTCCATCTTCAATAGATTCTCTCTAAGAGCGCCTTTTCTGGGAAAAGGAAGATAGAAAGAAGACCTCTTATACCCATCTCTATGTTTCTCAAATGCACAATATTGTTAGAGTCCCCCCAGGAAATTGTAAAATAATACAGACCCCTGAGTTCCCCTGCCAAACCATATCTGAATTTCCAAGAGCAAAAAACAACCTAGAATTACATATTCTTAACATTTTTAAGAGAGCCTTATGATAATTAAGCAAATGTGGGAATAACCACCTTAACTAAAGCAAAATGATGTTTATCTTCTCAGTCTCCCTCTTTCTAAGCCTTAAAGGTCGCTTTTATCTTTGTCAGCTGGCTTATACTCATTGCACTCCTTTCTTTTTTTTTTTCATTCTTTTGACATGCCCTTCTTCCTAGATCAGTGTCTAATCTATAAACAGATTTTTTGAAACTTTATTAATGTAGCCTTTAGAATTTTTAGAATTTACAACCTGCTCCTGCTTTTCATTTTATTTTATATTTTTAATATTTGAAAACAACTTTGAAAAAAACAGAACTTCTCTTTTCTCCTTAAAAGTTGAGTGTAAGTGATTTGTCTCAAATTCCTTTTCTTTTCTGCATTCCCCTAGCCTGCATTCTCAGGAGCCCATTTTGCTCTCTAATCATTTGGACATTAAACTGTCTTGCAAATATTATCATATTCTGTCTGTTCTTTCTCTACTGCCTGATTGTCAGCTCCTCAAAGTCAAACATCACATCCTTCAGTTCTTCTGTATTTCCCCCATTGAGCCTAGGAGATTGATTGCTAGTGTGCAGTATGCTTCACGCCGTGGGGACTTAATAAATATTTAAAAACAGTATTAAAATATTGAATAAATTTGACAGCAATGCTGCTCTTCATCACTTCAAGTGCCAACACTTTCTAGGTCCTTTCTCTGCCTAGCAACCATTTTCCCAGCATACCTGCAGGTCCCCAGACAGTACATCCAAGCTGAAGCTCTCTTTTGATCCAACTCTCCTTGCCCGAGTTATGGAAATACTATTTACTTGTTTTCCCTTGAGGAATATCTGATTGGCACCTAAAGATTCTGCCATGCTACTTGAAGTTGCTTTTTCGTTCCATAGTAAGGGGTGGGGGAAAGACAATAGGGATGGAGAAGGCTTTATTTTAGGTTACTTTCCTTTTCTCCCTAAATCATCTTTCCTAATAAGATACAATTCCCCTATGCATATTTTCATATCTCTACAGGTGTTTCTCATTCTTAGCACCTGAACAGTGCTAAGGATTTTAGGTAAGAGATTTTGGCATTTTAACCATCATTGTTTCTTCACGAGCTTTATTCAATTTTTGTCTGCCTACTGTAGTCAGGCAGGCAACACTTGTCTTATAACATCATTCTCCTACTAAAGATTATTTTGTGCCTATGAAGCACACTCTTTTATGTTATATGGGTCTAATGTTGCAACATACAGAAAAGCTTATTCTTATTGTCTTTTGGCTAGGTAATTACATTTTGCAAAGCACTTTGGCATCTATTCATTGTCTCTTGTAATCCTCATAACAACTTTGCTAGGTGGACAGGGTAGGGGTCATTATTTCCAGACAAGGAAACTAGGAGATCTTATTTTTATATTTTTTAAATTATTATTTTTTATTAAATTATTATCTGTGTACATAGATACACATTGCACCCCCCCCCCATTCCCAAACATGCCCTCTCTCCCCAGAGTTTTTTTTTTTTGGGGGGGGGATGTTCTTTGAGTTTATTATTATTATTATTATTTTTAAATATATTTTATTGATTTTGTACAGAGAGGAAGGGAGAGAGGTAGAGAGCCAGAAACATCGATGAGAGTCATCGATCAGCCGCCTCTTGCACACCCCCCACCGGGAATATGCCCACAACCAAGGTACATGCCCTTGACCAGAATCGAACCCAGGTCCCTTCAGTCCCCAAGTCGACGCTCTATCCATTGAGCCAAACCGGTCTCGGCTCTTTGAGTTTATTAAAAATGAAGATAAACCAGTCCCAGATGTCAATATTGACACAATGACAAAGAGTAATTGTGTCTCACTTAATATGAGTTTCTAAACTTGTTTTGTTTTTGTGTGTGACTGTTTCCATTTAAAAGAAAATATTTTTTAAATTTTTTTTTAAATTTTATTATTTTTTATTTTAATATATTTTATTGTTTTTTTTTGCCCCCCTCCCTCCCTCCCATACCTTCCCTCCCCAGAGTTTTGTGTCCATTGGTTGTACTTATATGCATGCATAGAAGACTTTAAGTGACCTGTCCAAGGTCACACAACTTGCTTGGATGGGTCCACATTGACACAACCAGTCCTCACTTCCTGTTTGGGCAAGTGATCACAGACAGCTCAACTTCGCAGCATAAGGCCTGACAGGTCAGTAGAGAAGGCTGCTAGAAAAACAAAACAAAACAACCAGAGACCGATAAAAAGGGCAAAAGGGCATAGAGGGACGTGGAGGCGGGTCATTAGGTGAAGAAAGCACTGCGCACGCGCAGATCGCTCTCAGCGGCCCGGAAGGAGGGGGAGGAACTTCGCTGAACTCGCAGCCAAACTCCACCTCCGGCCAGCGCGCAGGCGCACGTCCTCGGGCGTAAGGTCAGGAGAAAGACAGGGCGCCGCGCAGGCGCACTCGCGCGCCAGGGTCCCAAGATGTCGCACCCCAAGTACAAGCCGTCGCGCCTGGCCACTTTGCCCCCTACCCTTGACCCAGCTGAATATGACATATCTCCGGAAACCCGGAAGGCGCAAGCCGAGCGGTTGGCCATAAGGTCTCGGCTTAAGAGGGAGTACCTGCTTCAGTACAACGACCCCAAACGCCACGGGCTCATCGTGAGTGGGGGTCGCAGGGCGGGAATCGCGGGCCAGAGTTGGGGCGCTCGGCTCCGGCGGGGCAGCCCAGACCCGCCCCGGGGGGCCTGGCGGCGGGGCGGCCGCCGTCCCGGGCCAGGGTCTTAGACTTTGGCCTTCGCCCAGGCCCAGAGAGCAGGACTGCTCGCCAGCCCGTTAACCTTGGGCAGCGAGGCTGGGGGTCCAGAGAAGGAAGGGGCTGGGGGCCCCCACCCCTGGCACCCGGCTGGGGCTGAGCTCTGGCTGCATCGCCTCCCACCTGATGATCTTGAGAAAGTTCCTCAACTCTGCCGCTTGCACACAGTTTTCCTGCCTGAAAAATGGGAGCAGTCCTCTCATCTTAGGAGGATTAAATGAGATAAAGCACGTGACCAATACAGTGCCGGGCTTGTAATGAGTGTTTGAAAGTGTGTGTGTGTGTGTGTTTGTGTGTGTATGTATGTGTGTGTGTGTGTATGTATGTGTGTGTGTATATATATGTGTATGCATATATATATATATATATATATATATATATATATATATTTTATTTTTTTTTTTTTTAAGCTGTTTCCCACCTTTCAGGTCACACTTCATAGTAATGCTGCTCCCACCTGATGGGAACACAGTGATTCTTCACTTCGTATTTTTAAAGACCCAAAGACCCTGCGGCTTGTTGAAGTTTTGGGCTTTGGAGTCAGACTCCAAGGTGCTACATATTAGCAAACAACAGGGTGGGTCCAAGGTAGGTTGTGAGCACGCAAAACACAAGTTTGTTCTTGTATTATTATTTTTGTTTTTTTTTTAATTTTAATTTTTTAAAAATAATTTTTATTTTTTTATTTTTATAGAGAGGAACGGATTGGGATAGAGAGTTAGAAACATCGATGAGAGAGAAGCATCGATTAGCTGCCTCCTGCACCCCCCCCCCCCCCACCCGGGATGTGCCCGCAACCAAGGCACATGCCCTTGTCCGGAATCAAACCTGGGACTTTTCAGTCTGCAGGCCGACACTTTATCCACTGAGCCAAACCGGTTTCAGCTATTTATTGATTTTTAGAGAGAGGAACATCGATTGGTTGTCCCACTTTTTTATGCATTTATTGGTTGATTCTTGTATGTGCCCTAAAAGGAGACCCAGCCCACATCCTTGATCAATGGTGGGAGGAGTTACCCAGCCAGGGCCCACGTATTATTATTGTTTTATCTTCCATAAGAACAACTGAAACCCACGTTTGCCCCACCCTGTGTATGACCTTGGGCAATTTGCCGAACCATTCTGAACCTTTGTTTTCTAATCTTCATGGGAATGGTATTAACTTTTTTTTATTAGAGTTGGTGTGAGATTAAATGAGTTAATTTGTGTAAAATTCCCGGTACATAATATATGCCCATCAAACTGATAGCTATTTTTATTTAACAGGGGTGCTTTTTGGTAATTTTCTGTACAAGAGCAGAAATATGACGTGAAGTGTGATTTTAAAGACTTCTTTTCCCAACAGTTGCATTGGTATGCTGTAGGAATTTTTGGAAGTTGTGAGAATTGAAGGAAATTTGCATTGTTCCAGAGACTATCTAAACTTTCCTGAATATTATTCAAATATCACAATTATTTAGAGTTAAACTCTATTACTATCCCTGTTTTACAGAAGAGAAGACAACATGGGAAGGACAAGTGGTGTATAGAGTTATAGAGGCCCGGGACACGATATTCATGCAACAGGGCAGGGGGGAGGGGTGTCCCTCAGCCTGGCCTGCACCCTCTCCAACCTGGGACCCCTTGAGGGATGTCCCACTGCTGGTTTAGGCCCAACCCACAGGGCATCCCTCTCGCAGTCCAGGACTATGGCTCCTAACTGCTTGCCTGCCTGATCACCCCTCACTGCCTCTAATTTGGCCCCAGCCTAAGCCACAGTCTGGCCTCCCTCTGCAGGAGGGGACCTGGCAGATCAGGGGAAGGTGCCGCCCCCATTACCCCACTGCTGCTGCCACTGCGAGCCTAAGCCTGGGCCCTTTGAAGCTGTGCCTTGGACCTTTGCAGGCTGCCTGGGGCTGCCTGAGCCTCAGCCCTCACAGCTGCTGCAGCTTTATCTGGAAGGACGGCTGGAAGGTCGTCCAGAAGACACCCACCCTAATTAGCATATTACCCTTTTATTAATATAGACTAGTGGCCCCGTGCACAAAATTTGTGCACATTAAAAGGGGATTAATTGGAGGAAATAATTTAATATTGCTATTTGCCCTTTATAATAGAAGTGTCAGAGATGAAAGAAAATTAGTAAAATGTATATGAAAACCTTCCTCCTATCAGAGTCTGGGGCACACCACAGGATCCAGAGTCAAGTCCCTGCCCACCCACATGCACCTCAAAATTATGTGAGACCCAGACCTGGCCGCCCCTCCTCCCCCCATTGGGCTAGATCAGACCTGGCCAGTCCCACCCTTGACAAGCCCTGTCGGGCAGGGGGTGTAGCCTCAGGTCCCCTGGCCTGATGCCAGGACGGAGGGGTGTAGCTTGAGGTCCTCAGTTAAGCCCCACCAGGTGCGGGACACGGTCTGAGATTCTTCTGTCAAGCCCTGCCAGGTAGGGGCGGATGCAGCCTCAGGTCCCCTGTCAAGCCCCGCTGGGCGGGAGCACGTCCTGAGTTCCCCTAACCCAGCACTGGAGGTGCACCTTGAGGTCCCCTGTCAAGCCCCACCTGGTGGGGAGCGCGGCCTGAGGTCCCCCAGCCTGGCTGGCGCTGGGGCGGGGGGAGCAGCCTAAGGTCCCTTAGCCCAGCACTAGGACCGGAAGTGCACATTAAGGTTCCCTCCCCACCAAGCCTCGGGCAGGGGGCAAGGCCTCAGGGCCCCTGGCCTGGCACTGGGGGTGTGTGTGCGGCCTGAGGTCCCCCAGCCTGACACCAGGGCGAGGGGTGCGGCCTGAGGTCCCTTGTCAAGCCCTGCCAGATAGGGGGTGCAGCCTGAGGTCCCCTGTCAAGCCCCACAGGGGCAGGGGAGGGTATAACTTCAGGTCCCTGCTGATTGCTTGTTAAGGCTCCTTATGGGAACTTGGCCTCAGCTGTGGGTGCAGCCATCTTTCTGATATAGTGATGGTCAGTTAGCATATTCTCTCTTTATTAGATAGGATACTCTTTTAGCAAGTGTTTGAACAGAATTTGAACTTTGTTCTAAGTAACACAGAGCATCTGCTGAACCAGTTGGCTGTACCATCTCTTGCCAAAACATATTTGTGAAAAAGGTGCAGAGCGAGACATTTATTATATATATACACAATTAGGTTTGATGTGCCAGATAGTATGATGTCATTAAAAATGATAAGGACTTGAACCAGAGTTGAGGTTTCAGCTCCACAGAGTTTTTCTTTTCCAGTTCTGGAACCTAGAGCAATTTCAATTTTGTCATTTAGAACAGAGGAAGTAATACTTGCCTAATTGGTTCTTCTATTCATTGAGTGTCTCATACTTAATTATATACTGATCGATCAATACATGAAAATTACCTGCCTGATCTTTAAGAATGATTGACTCAGTGTATAAATAATTATTCACGATCTATTATAGGCCAGGCCCTGTTTTAGATGTTGCAGTAACAGTGGAGAACAAAACAGGCAGAGACTCCTGTCCATATAGAGCTTTCTTTCAAGTGGGGGAGACAAGTATTTTAATAGTAAGTTAAAAAAATAATCATTTAGCAATTTAGATAGTGACCATGATAATAAAAATAAAGCAAGAAAGGGGATTAAGATTGTGTGTAGGAAGAGAGAGCAACTGGCAGTTTTAGATAGGCCCAGGGAAGGCCTTGCTTATAAAGTGACATTTGAGTGAAGATCTGAAAGATGAGGGGACAGAGCTAGGAAAGTAGCATTTTAGGCAAAGAGGACAGCAAGTACAAGGGTCCTTAGATAGTACAGTAGGTCCTCAGGTTACTTTGGAGATCCGTTCCTATGGCGCGATGTAACTCGATTTTCACAGTAAGTCGGAACCCACCTAGGTAAACAACTATGTCACATGGAGCACATATACAGCAGTAATAAAGTGAAACAGTAAAAAAAAAAAAAAAAAAAGATAACTCCTGACCTTTACTTGTGGTAAATAAATAATTTAAAAAAACAACAACACAAAGTACATATGTACATACATCGAAATGATGGAACTTTTTTTTATATATAAATAAATGGGAGATGGTGATGTAACCCCAAAACGACGTATGTTGAGTCCAACATAACCCAAGGACTGTCTGTAGTGTGCTTAATTGCAAAAATACTGAAGAGATTGTGGCTAATATGGAGAAAGATGAGGGCAGTGTAGGAAGAAATGAGGTCAGAAGGACACCTGGCCTAGATCAGACCAGGCCTTGTAAGTCATTGGCAGATTGGATGGAAAGTGTAAGAGATGGAGGGGGTCAAGGATGACTCCAAGGTTTTTGACCTAGCTGATGGGAAAAATGAACCTGCTTTTTACCAAGATAGAGAAGAATGAGAGGAGCAGGGATAGTGGTGGAGTGGATGCTGGGAAATCACTGGGATGAGACATCACATTTGACATGTCTGTTAGACAGCATGATAGTGTGATATTATGTCTGGAGTTTAGGGTAGAGATCGAGGGCTACAGGTGGATCTTAGAAGCCACGTGACTGGAGATCACCAATAGAATGAAAGTAAATAGGAATGGTCAACAAATTTCGAGGTCCAAGACTAGGGACCCCGTGCATGAATTCATGCACCTTGAAAGGAACTGTGGGCCGTGAGGCTGCAGTGGGCACAGGGGCAGGTCTCGGCCCATCCTCTGAGCCCCCATCTGGCCCCTCCCACTGCTGCCTCCAGTCCCTTATCTGTCAGCAGCCCCACTCCTGCTGCTCACACCCACTGACGGTGCGGAGCAATTGGGGCCGGCACTGTCAGCGGGTGTGAGTGGCAGCTGCCCTGATCACCCCTCAGGAGCAGGGGAAGGTGGAGAAGCCCTCAGTGGTGATTGGGGCTGTCAGTTGCCGCTTGCACCCACTGACGACACTGAGCGATCTGGACCAGTGCTGGCAGCAGGTGCAAGCGCCAGGCAGGATTGCGGCACATGGGAGGAAAGAATTTTCAGTAACCACCGGAGACTTGCCCCAGTGACAGTGACCAGCGTCCCACCTTGACTGGCACCCCTGGTAACACGCTCCCGCCATATTTCACGTGCCCCCCTTCGTGGTCAGGTACATCATAGCGACCGGTTGTTTGGTTGTTCCTCCATTTTGTCTATTTGCATATTAATCTTGTATTATATAGGATTGGCGAGTAAGGAAGAAGAGCAAAAGAGACTACGTAAGAGGGAATGATGAGAAAGGAGGAAAATTAAGCCGGTGTATGTCATGGAAAGCCATGATTTCAGGAAGGATTGTTCACCATGTCACATGCTGCTGGTAGTCCAGATGTGGAGTGGTGGTAAAGGAGAACTGTTCCCCATGTTGTGTGTATTGAAACATCTCTTAAGAACAGTACTGGGCTCAGTGAACTATGGTCATGGGGTATTTCATTTTTCTGAAATGAAATGTGTTTCTAGAAGGCAGATCTATCACATATCAAAGTGTAGAGAGGTGACTGGCATTTGATAATTCATGGGAGAGTCATTCAAATACATTAATAGCAGAAAGGATAGGTAAAAGAATAGATATATTGAGCTCAAATTTCACCTTGAATTTATATCTTATGTCTTCACTTTTGCTATTTCTGCAAACAGTTTGTTGTAAAATGTTACTGTGAAAGATCCAGTTTAAGTAATTTAGTCCTACCAATTATGATTTCTTGGTATTGATTAGGACAATGGTCGGCAACTCATTAGTCAACAGAGCCAAATATCAACAGTACAACGATTGAAACTTATGTTGAGAGCTGAAAACCGACCCCTGCATGTGGTATTTTGTGGAAGAGCCACACTCAAGAAGCCAAAGAGCCACATGTGGCTTGCGATCCTCAGTTTGCCGACCATTGGATTAGGACCTTGAATGTTCTTACTGCTTAGTATTAAGATTTTAAAGCTCATTTTGTTTGCTTATTTTTATCAGTTAATTGGAGTGAGTAATTTTGTAAAATCATTTGGGGATTTAGCTAACTAAATTATGTATTTGGAGTACATTTGTTATTACATTGTTATTCTAGTAAACATATTGAAATGAACAATTAAATTTTTTTAAAGAAAGACAATGATTATTTTTCAAAAACAGCCTTCTCCTTGCTACAAAACTATTAAATAGTATGAAATATAATATTTTGCTCTTAAAAATATCAGCCAAAAAACTTAAAGCTCATAGTTAGCCTACTTCAGTCTATACCTTCCTGCAACTACTTATCTGTAGCCTATAAAGATCAGTGTGGAGGTAACATTATAAAGAGTTGGTAACAAAGTATAATATAAAGCATGACAGAGCATATGAAATTTATTGGTCGTCATTGGGAATACTATGTGCTTTTGTTGGTCACACTTCAAGAAGAATGATGATGCTAAAAACAATCAAAAAAAGAATAGATCACAACGATCAAAGAAAAAGTAGTTTCTCTGACAGCTTTAAAAAGATTAGGATTCTTGTCTATCTAGTGTGGCTCAGTGTTTGAGCATCAACTTATGAACAAGGAGCTCACAGTTCAATTCCCGATGAGGGCATATGCCTGGGTTGTGGGCTCAATCCTCATTGTAGGATGTGCAGAAGGGAGCTAATCAATGATTTTATCGTCATTGATGTTTCTCCCTCTTCCTCTCCCTTCCTCTCTGAAATCAAAGAAAAAAATTAGGATTCTTAAATCTTAAGTAAATAAAAAGCTTAAGGTTGTTATAAAAGTGCTTTTAAGTTTTGAAGAATTTGAACACGATGGTCAGAGAGTTATTCAGCCAACAGAAATAAAAGATTTTCCCTGAAGCTATTTAGGAATATTCAGAGCGTACCTTTAACTGTAGTAGAGAACAAAAGGAAAGTATCAAGAACAGTCCTGATGAGGTTGTTTCTTAGTGTGGCCCTGCTTAAGTTTCTGTTACTTTTTGTTATTAATTCTAGGAAGATCCTGCCTTGGCTCGTTGGACTTATGCGAGAACAGCAAATGTCTATCCCAATTTCAGACCCACTCCCAAGAACTCCCTCCTAGGAGCCGTGGTGGGAATTGGACCCCTCTTCTTCTGGTATTATGTTTTCAAAACTGACAGAGTAAGTATCAGGACCTGAGGTTTAGTTTCTGTGCTCTTTTATTTTTATTCTTTTCCAGCACAAGATAAAACATAATTGAGTTATATGTTTGGTTTTATTTATTTATCGTTTCAACTCATAGAAATATGCTTTGTTAAAAATCACTGATCTCTGGGTCTTTCAAGTTGTAAGAGATGCTCTAGAATTTAAAGTAATAAATTGGTCAATTTAAATTTCTAAAACTGGAATTTACTCAAGAGTTTTCCTGATGTATTTTAGATGATGAGGAAATTATACTGTGGGTATTACACAAGAGAATATAAAATATAACTTTTAAGAAGTTTAATTTCTTTTTTTTCTCATTAGAAGATGTGTAGAAGTTAAACTTATTCTGATTCACCTTTAGATATCATTTTTGCAAATTTTTGTAATTAGTTTTCTGAATTCATTTATTTTACAAAGATGTTTTTTGGGAGTAAATATTAATAAAATATGCAAATCATTTAGTGTGTTCCCTATTTATGTGAATTCTAGTTATATTGGTTACACTTTGCAAATTAATGTTAAAAAATATTAATAGGCTAACACTAGAAAGCAAAAGCAGCCCGTGCTGGCCATCACTGCCATCAGAGGCTTGGGTATATGATTGAGAGAAAGCCACGCTTATCTCTGACACTGGACCCTCTAATGCTGGAACCCCGGTCCCAGCTTCTAAGGCCTCAGATTGCCATCTACACTGGTGCCACCTATTTACCATGTTTCCCCGAAAATAAGACCTACTTACAGGTTTCCTTCTGAGTGAAATATAAGGCATCCCCCCGAAAATAAGGCCCCCCTAGGCTCTGTCTCAGAATGAAAATTAATTTACCATAAACTGGTTGCTAGGGCCGCCCCGACTGGCTGTCTAGCAACCAGTGACGTTACTCATTTAAAGACAGTGCTATTGCTAAACATGAGAGATTTGGTCCACTGATTCTGAAAGAAATGGAGTCACAAGAAATTCACCAGGAAATTCAGGAATTGGATTGTTATGATGATGTTCCAGAAGATGATGACATGATTGTCATTGAATAAATGAGTAAATTCTTGATACTGTAAGATTCACAGTTTGTCTGATTTGTGTTGACAACTACCGTACTACTGTACCGCATACAGGTAATAAATTTCCTTTATTTTAATTTAACAATAAATGTGTACCGTATTTTTCTTCATGGAAAAGTAAGACATCCCCTGAAAATAAGACCTAGCGCATCTTTGGGAGCAAAAATTAATATAAGACACTGTCTTATTTTCGGGGAAACAGGGTAACTGTGCCTGAAACCAGCCAATCCACTCTCCTATCAGAGTGTATATTTTTTGATTATCTGATAAATATTGCTTAACAGGAAGATAGGCCACACTTACTCAGCGGGTATTTGCATTTTGCTTGCGATATATGCTTTTTAGTGGAGTAATACAATTTTACTTACTAAAATGTGGATAAGATATTTTCCAATAGCATTAGTTTCTTTACTTTTTTTCAGACTACTGTTTCCTCACTCATGCTCCATAGGTTTTAAAACGAGGGAGGTGGAATTAGGTTTGGAGCATTTCAGTCCTGTTTTTTAGAGTTGTATCATGGGTTGTGCCAGAATGCATTGTTTTTAATGTTTGCTTGTTTGTTTTTTTCTGTTTACTCAGGATAGGAAAGAAAAACTTATCCAGGAAGGAAAATTGGACCGAAAAAATAACATCTCCTATTAAGGCTGACAATGATGACTATATATATTATTGTTTAATAAATCTATGAATCATGAAATAGTTTCTCATTCTTAATGTTACCTTGATTCAACAAACGTTTACTGAACATTATAGAACTTTGTGAGCATTCGTAGTTTAATGGAAAAAACAGATGCATCTTATTCGTTTTCTCATTCAACAAATACGTGGCTACTCTAAGCCAGCACAGTATCACTTTAGCATCATCAGGCCATTGCTGAAGCAGTTGCCTGTTATCACTGGACATGGAAGCACCAAGATGCACTAGTGAATCCCTGGGTTCCAGGCCTCTGCCCTCCTGCTCTCCTTGTGTAACAGCAACTCTGAAAACTGTGGTGGTGTGTTTTCTGTCTACTTTTCCCCAGGTGCAAGAACTGGAAATGATCAGGTGATAATTATAGCTTCAGATTAAAGCCAAATCCTGTGATAACTATGATTGATTATATATATATATATATATATATATATTTTTTTTTTTTTGTCCCTGTTTCTAGCATGGAGCTTCTAAAACCCTTGGGATTTCCTAAGTGATGAGATAAAGGAGACTTTTGTTATGTTAATTAGGTGATTTTTGGACCCTACCTGAGGATGAGGGCAGGTTGCCAGGAGAACCAGCCCTGTGGTTAGAGGGTTGAAACTTTTCAGTCCCACTCCCTATCTCCTTGGCTTTGTATCCCTGCTGAGCTGGAAAGTATCTGATTCCTTGTCTCAGTTTCCTTATTTTTAAAACAATATAGGAATATTGTTATTGAACTCATTAGTAAGTTATTGAAAGAATTTAGAAGCACACATTCAGATCTCTGAGTATTTACGTTATTTTAAACCTGATGGATGAAAGTTTTAATTTGCATTTTATTGAGGCCTCACTTTTTTAAAACATTTTGTTCATTTATATTTGTTTTTGCTTGCTCAAATCCACTGCCCAATTTTTCTGATGTAATATGTCTTTTTTTCCTTAAAGATTTTAAGGCATAAACAAGATAAAGATATTAGTCCTTGCTGAGACCGGTTTGGCTCAGTGGATAGAGCATTGGTCTGGGGACTGAAGGGTCCTGGATTCGATTCCGGTCAAGGGCATGTACATTGGTTGCAGGCACATCCCCAGTGGGGGGTGTGCAAGAGGCAGCTGGTTGATGATTCTCTCTCATCGACGTTTCTAGCTCTCTGTCCCTCTCCCTTCCTCTCTGTGGAAAATTAATAAAATATATTAAAATGATATTAGTCCTTGATCATACCAGTCATCTTCCATCTGGAGTTACTATAGTACACCTTAATAAAAGAAAACAAAAACAAAAACATTTACAGTATATCTTTGGTGCCTAAGCTTTGAAAGAAAAACTACCCAGAGAGGCATAGTCAGAATATTTAAAACATTTTTTTTTAACATTGAGAATTATTGAGCAGTATATGTTCTTAAGAGTTTAATTTTAAAAGATTTTTAAAATCACAAACAGTGACCCATATCACACCCAGAAGTGGTCTGGTAAGGACAGCAATGGCCTCATCTGAGCAGTCAGTGCTGCTGTGTGTCTGACTAGCTTTGGGCACTGGGCACAGGATCCCGCACTGGTTACCCTGCATCTGTTGGGTCAAGAACTCATCTTCATCACCTCTGAGTCCAGGAGAATATGATTGGCCAAGCCTAGGTTATGTACTTGAGTCCTAGCTGCAGGAAGGCTGAAAAAGCAGGCACATGGCATGTTCATCTCTAAAATGTGAGGCGGGTAAGGAATTCTCAAACATAAGAAAGTGATTCAAATACTGAGCTAACAAGTGACAAATATGTACTGAGGGAGGTAACCAGGACCAGATGGGTCCCTTATCACAGTTAAGAAGTTTAGACTTCAGACAGCAATGGGAGCCATTGAAGGTAGCAAGCAGGAGTAAGCTGATTGAACTTGCATTCCTGGAAGGTCATTCTGGATCCCTGAGGATCTCTGCCAATTGCAGGATGACTCATTGGGATGTGAACTTGTTGAAAGCTTTATGAAAGTCTAAATATATTATCTATTCATTACCTTTTATGCATGTCTATGAGAAGCCAGCCTACTTAAGTCCTTACCTTGTATGACATCCCTTCTTCCTCTATGAAACAAAATTGTATCTCTAATAGGCTGGTTTGTTTCAATACTATGTTCTCTTTAACCTTTTATTGTGGACCCTGCCTAGAGAAAAAGATTGTATTCACACTCTGAATGAAATCCTGTCATGTTCAGTCCTGGCTTATTTTTATTTTTCTTCTCATTCCTAGTGGCATCTGATACAGTCTTCTAATAACTTTGGGGGAGATAGAGAGTACTGATTATGTACATTCTTCAGGATCATTAATGGGGTATTTTAAGAAATTAGAGCCGAAACTGGTTTGGCTCAATGGATAGAGCGTCGGCTTGGGGACTGAAAGGTCCCGGGTTCGATTCCGGTCAAGGGCATGTACCTTGGTTGCGGGCATATCCCCAGTAGGGGGTGTGCAAGAGGCAGCTGATTGATGACTCTCATTGATGTTTCTAACTATCTCTCTCCCTTCCTCTCAGTACAAAATCAATAAAATATATTTTTAAAAATTAGAATCTGTACAAGAAACTGCCTTGACAACACTTTACAGTTAATAAAAATATATTGCTATAAAGTATTTTCAAAGATTCTGAATTTTCAAAGCTTCCACCGCCAATTCTTAAAATATATAATTTTGTGTTCTATCAGAGGACCCATTTACACCTAAAACTATGATTGTGATACTTCAATTGTTTCCCCTCTGGTTTGCCTTGTTTAATGGCATTTCTCCAGCTGAGATAGAGACTTCTTTTGCTGATGCCTACGGTGGCCTAGAGAGACACTGAGCAGCCGCATATACTTGGACACCATCATCTCAAGAAAATTCAGTGTGTGTAGAACTCGTTGCCAAGCTTCAGGATTTAAAATATTAAAGTCACAGTCTGACATATGACCTCTGAATGTACCTGGGGGTGGATGGCTGGTGAAACATCTGTGATTTCTGGAGCAAACCTGTCACTAAAGTTCAAGTTCATTTCCCCCATAATCACAAGAACTATTATCTTATTTTGAGTTATTTCTTTACTTCTTTCACCAATTACATTTAAATCATCTCTTATTTAAAAATTAGGTTCTGAAACAATCTTGTAGGTAGGGAAGGAGGCAACTGGCTGAGGCTGCTCCAGAAATCAATAGGAGGGATTCAGGGGCTGCAATACGATATGAAATTGTTGTGGGCATGAGAAGAAAGTGGCAGGGGACTCCTATTAAAACTACATTTGCATAATTAAGCACTTTTAAGAACTTACAGTATACTAGTAGCCCTGCGCATAGCTCTCCACCTGCTGCCACCTTCCTATAGCTGTCCCCCTGCCCTCCCTAGCCGCCCCCTCCCCCGCATTCCCTCATAGCTTGCTGCTCTGCCCCCTCTTGTAGTTCTCCGAACCATCTGTTGATAACCATTTGCATATTACATCTGTATTATATAGGATGTATCATATCAATTAAGAACACAAAGCTTTCTAAAGAGGGTTTTATTCATACTTTATAAAAGACGGAGACACCATTGAAGAGTATTCTTGTTTTTCATGGAGTGGCTTAGGAGAGGGGAGATGGAGATGGGAGTGGTCAATTTACCTGAAGCCATCTGTTAGATGACAGGCAGCTTCTCCAAAACCATGCTCTGCAGAAGGGATGACACAGAAGTGATTTGGTCCCATCAGGGTGTTTGGGAGGAGACGCCACTGCAGGTTGCAAGGAGAATGAATGAGCTGCTGTTGGCCTGCAGGAACTGGGGATGGTTGATTTCCTGGAGCCACTGGGGAGGAGGTGTCCGTGTCCCACAGAATTCTAGTAGAACACTGGCCATTAGATCTTCTCTGCATTGATCAAACTGAGCCCTGATTATTTAAACTGAGCCCTACATTTGCATAATTAAGCACTTTTAAGAACTTACAGTATACTAGTAGCCCTGCGCATAGCTCTCCACCTGCTGCCACCTTCCTATAGCTGTCTCGTAGAACACTGGCCATTAGATCTTCTCTGCATTGATCAAACTGAGCCCTGATTATTATAAACTGAGCCCTACATTTGCATAATTAAGCACTTTTAAGAACTTACAGTATACTAGTAGCCCTGATTATTTATTAAGCACCAAGGATACTAATATGAAGGAGATACAGCTCTTTGGAGGAACACAATGATGAAAAGCAATTACAGCAGTCACATTTATTATGCTTTTACTTGTGTTCCAGGCACTAAGCTAACGTGAGAGCTTTACAAACCTCCCAGCATATCTTAACGATTCCCATTATGCGGGCAAGATTTAGTGAGGTTGAATAATTTGCTTGAGTCCTTTTGCTAATAAGAGCTGAGACAGAACTTAAATCTAGGCAGCCTGACTCTAAGAAAGGGCATGTCTTTAACGGTTCTTTGAAAGGGATAAAGATCAACGCTGTGGGGAGTCCAGTACTGAGAAAACATCTGACTCAGCCTGGAGGGTTTAAGGGATAACGCCTTAAGAAGTACTAATTGGCACTTACAAAATAGGCTCAGAGATGTAAAGTACAGCATAGGGAATACAGTCAACAATATTACAATAACTGGTGCCAAGAGGGCACTTGAATTATTGGAGGGAACACTTTGTGAAGTATATAAATGTCTATCTGCTGTGCTGTATACCTGAAATTAATACAAAACAGTGTGAAATGCAAACTGTAATTGAAAAAAAAAAAAAGGAAATAGATAACACCTTCAAGAGCAGGGACACCCACTTTCATGCTTAGATTTTCTGCACGTTCGTAAGTACGGTATATATAATAGAAAGTTAGAGCTGGAAAGATCTTTAAAGAACTGCCAGTCTCACATCCTAATGCTATAGGAAATGCTTGGACAGGAAACATGACTTGTTCAATTCTTTAAGAAAGCCTGTCTATTTAAGGATTAGGAGTGCAGGATGTGATTAAGACCTACTGCCCGATGGCCCATGTCACGGG